CCACATGACATTTGCATAGTGCTACGGTTCAGTAAGCACTAATTGGTCAGCGAGTCCGATGTTGACGCTATAAAAAGGCGACAGTTCGACACACCGGATATACGTCACTCTCGTCTAAGTTCGACTTGGGAAATTTTTTGTTCAATAATAAATGTGAATTCTTCTTCCTGGAAAAAATAAGACATTCCCTAAAAATAAGACCTAGCGCATTTTTCAGAGCAAAAATTAATATAAGACACTGTCTTATTTTCGGGGAAACACGGTAGTAAAATAATTTTATTAATAATAATAATTTAGTAACATAAATTTATTCATAGTAAAATGTACTCGCGGGCCGTAAAAATTATTTGGCAGGCCGTATACGGCCCGCGGGCCGCCAGTTGGACAGCGCTGTATTATTGTATAAACTTATATATTATAGATAGGATAATAATCCAATACATCCTAACTATTGCAAAATTTATTTTTGTTGTTATATTCTAGATGAAATTTCCCCAAATTATTAATAAAAAGTGGTGGATGGAATTGAATTATTACGTACAGTTATTTAAAGGTCCTACAGCCATGCTGGTAAAGTCATAATAATAGAGTTGGATGTAAAATATTTTAATATCAAATTGAATTGTATTTTTATGACAAATTGTAAGTAACAATTGTAAATTATTTTTTAATACTTTTTGTTTCTGAAAGGTTTGAACCTTATTTATATATTTACAGAAAAGTCAATAAATGCATTGTTTGTTAAAAAAATTAATTTCTATACTTAATAAATTATATCATAAGATTTTACATTGTTAATTATCTTTATAGGATTAGCAAAGAAAATTTCTTTCAGTATTAAATTTTATTTCAATGATTTTGTTTATAATAAGCAAACTTTATTATTTTTTACAAAGTATTATTAAGAAATATAGGCTAACAAAAACTAATAAAATTCTTTATGATGATTTTGAAGCCGGGGGTGAAGACGCAAGACTTGATCCTTTTTCCTGATGTCTGTCCACTGAAGACCGTTCATGGTGTCTGTCGTGGCTTGAGTTAGTGTGTTTAGGAAGAGTTAGCGATGTCATCGATAAGGTGTTGGCAATACACAAGATAAACTTGTTATCTAAATGGTTGCTTTAATATAAAAACAAAGGATTACAAGAGACAGATACAATTGAGTTGGAATAATTAACAGTTTCCCAGTTAAGAGGGTCTTTAGGGACCAAGTTCTGGGTGACTATTGATCTACTTACAAACTAAAGACTGAGAGAGAGTTTACATAAAACTGGTAAACATAATACCTCATTAGGAATTTGACTTGGACGACAAAATCTTCTGAGGTTTGATACCGGTGGAGAGATGATTGACAGGTGGACTGGCAAGGAGTTGGCAGTTTTTGGCAATTGCCCTGATGATTGAGTTCTAGCCCTTTTTGTTCTCCCTGAGCTTAGGAGTAGAATCTGGTGATTTTGATTTAATGTGGTCTAAGGTCGAGATGTGTCACTGGTCTGGCAGATACGGGTTGTAAAAATTTGATGACTCAGCCAGGTTGTTGATTTTTTTGCCAGGTGTTCTGACTCATTTTACCTCATAATTTAACCGATTTTGACATTCATTCTTCCTTATCAATAATTAATGTTTAAATTTATCTCCAAAACTTATTCAAAACATGTTAAAGATTGTTGATTTGTAAGGTTATTTGATTGTCTTTTATCTATTGGGCCAGAGGGCAATGGAAATGCCAGGTGGAGAGAGGAAAAAATGGGGTTTTTTTACTGTATAATTAACCACCTATTATTAATTACTTCAGAATCTCATAATTTAAATTTTTTCTACCATGTTTGTATATAAACTTATAATATCACTCCATATTTTTTTTTATTTTACTTATACCAGAGTTTCATATTTTTGCAATATATGTTCATTTTACATCTATATATATATAAATGGACGTGTGTGTCCCTATATTTCACTTTTCAGCCAAAACTACACATCGCATATGAATGGTGTTTGTATGTGGTAGTAGCCCCAAGTCTCCATTCGTGTACTATGGTGGTTGTGTCTCTATAGCTATAAGGGTGCAGGAGATATGGAGTTGAAAGTGATTGAAAGTGGAAGATTTTCTATTTCGATTTAAAAAATTTTTGAATTTGTATTCGAATTTGAATTGGTTCGATTATAGAACGATTGTAAACGTTCCAGAAAATTGATCAAATTGAAAATAGTTCGTTTGACTGGACGTAAAAATTCTCTAATTAGTCTGGAAATGGGGGACCTAATTCTTGCATTCTGTGAAAATGGGTAAGATTGGCTATAATGTAATTATCTTAATCTTCACTATCGTTACTTTTTGCCCACAAATAAAAACCCAGCAAAGCGGGTCCTTGCAGCTAGTATTCCTATAAAAATGTTCCATAGTGTTATCATCAAACTTTAAGAAAATTTTTCTTTTTACAATAAGTGAATAGTGTTGTTTTGCTTCATTTGCAATTAACTTGTTTAGACACTTTTACCATGCATTCAGATGTACGTATGTTCAAACCTAAAATCTCTTGAGCTAAATTTAAATTGATAACAAGATACCTGTTTCCACTACAAGAGTGTAATAAATATTATACTATTTTTGATTATTTAAATACAGTCGACCCCCCTATAACATGGTAGATACGTTCCTGTTTTTAGGAATCCATTTCTTACGAGTCCAGCCAATCATAGCCCGGCATGTATGCAGTTTACTGACTACGGCTGTTTGACTGATGACTGACGGCTGTTTGAAAAGTTTCTTCCATAAAATTAATCAATTGTAGACTAATTCGACTCAACATTTCCAAAATACATATAATTTTTTGGGAATAATCCATATAAACTATGCTATAAACAAAAAATTGTAGGATTACTTACCGAGTTGTTGCTTAAGCTTGTTTTCGTCGCGGAGATTGCTGTCGAATGGCGCTTGCGTGCTTCCTGATAAATTATTTTTTTTGCGAAAAATTTGCTGAACTTTGGAGACATCATTAATATAAATATAATTTTTATGGACGTTAAATAATAAATTGTTTTTAGTAGGTCCGCTGCTCATTTAAACTCAATGGTTTGTGCAATCCTGTCGCAACACGAGTTGGCGATGACGTTTTACCGAATTATAGGAGGTTTTTTACATTTTTGTACGAATACTGTCGCAATTTTTTCACCGTGATATAGGAATCCGAACTATAGGAACCTGTGTTATAGGGGGATAAACTGTATAACACAACTCAAATGAACTATATAATAATTATTCCATATTTTAAAATTATGAATAAAACTAAATGCTCTTATCTTGAACTTTAATAACAATCAATCTATAGGATATAAAATAATGTCTATACCATAAAAATATCAAAATGTTTACTTATATGAACAAAAGATAGGACTAAAGTTTTAGCACAACTCAGATCAGGTATTATTTACATACTCAGACCATGGTCAGTTTTACAGTTAAGTGCCAGCATTACTTGTAAACAAAGAAAAGATTAATTTTACAATCCATTTTATTAATTAACACTAACAATTTTCATAATAATTTTAAAAATTTCATTAGGCATATGTATGTTCTTGTGAGAGTATATATGAGGGTGTGTATACTAATATTAGAGGCACTCTTGTAATATCAGATACTCTTGTACTAGCCCTGGCTCAGACTATATTAAACAGTAAATTGTGTTGTCCTGTAATCTGTTGAGCAGATGATTAGCTAATTTAATGTAGAACTAAACAGTTCTATGAAACAATATAAATTACAGAAGTGTTTCTACAATCAGTGAAACTTTTTGTAGACCAGAGGTCTGAAAAAGCACTAGGAAGAACTTTTAGTCTAATATAAACTGAAACGATCTAAATTTAATTTTTAACAATATTACTAAATTTTTAAAAACACCTCTCCAAAACCATTGTTGGAAATAAACAAATTGGAAACCACTATATACAGTAGTTAATCAAAACTTTCTGAGTTGTGCACCACTTCAAGTGGGAGTGAGTGTCTTGAATGGAGTATGAGTGGATGATATCTTAGAAAGGCAGAGTCAAGTTTGTGGTGCCAGTTGGATTGTAGCAAGCTTCCAGTTCAGAGTATAAGAGAATGATTTCTCAAAAAGATTAGATTGAATAAACAGTGACAGGCAGATAAGAGTGGGCTCCCTGGATGGAATACCAAAAAGAATTTCTTAATACCTAATGTAGCTTTTTATTTTCTGGGCTTTTATGTATACATAACAAGTGAAAGCATTGGAATCCTGTCAAATTTGACCAACCAAGTTTTTTGCAAATCTCCAGTTTTGAGACATAAATCCAAATAAGTAAAAAAATAATAATAATTCCGTTCGTGTGTGTTGGCGTCTATTTCGTTTAATATCTCAAGATGGGGTAATGATTAAAGGCGGCTATACACGATGGGTTAATCCTTTGAGGCTGCTTGACCTTGAGGAACTTCAGAATTTCCTATCCCCCACAAACGAAGAAAACTTCTCAGCAGAGGGTGGGGCAGCTTGCCCCGGGCGCCACTGGCAGAGGGGAGCCAAATGGTTTCCAAGAAAAACAAAATTTGTTTCTGGAGGGGGAGGGGGCGCCAATATAGTGTCGCGGCCCGGGTGCAGTTATGTTCGCTACGCCATTGTGTTTATTATTAAGCCACTGATGTTTATTGGCAACAAATTCTATTAAAACTCGCGGGAAAAAAGTTTGCATAGAAGTCTATGGTGTAAATAGTAGTAGTAGTGGTTTGGGTAGCACTGATCACAAAATTAATTTTTCATACGAATAATTTTTTAATGGAATTATTTCAGATCACAAAATTATTTCAAGAGAAATCTTGAGCTATAGATTATGTTAAAAAGCATCAATTATCAGCGAAAGATCAATGGCAAGTCGATTTTACTACCAAAAAAATTCATGGATTAAATTTTATAGACGAATATATATTAATAATTCTCAACCACATCCGATATTAGTACAAATTGTAAACATTATTATCGCAAATTAATTTTATAATTTAATAATTAAAAAGAATTTATTAAACTTTGTCTTATTTTAAGTTGTCATGTTTTAATTTACTTGGATATTAAAACAATAAATTTTTTAAAATGTAGAAGAAAATGATAAAGAGTATCAAGATGTTTTATGAAAACGGAAGAAATGAATTGAGAAGTTTTCTAAATATTAAAATTATTTATAATTTTAATTTACTCAAGAAATTTTTGATCCGAAAATAATTTATAACCTGAAAAATTAATTTATTAGGTTATAAATAATAAAAGTTAATAAGGTTATAGAAAATAATTCTTCCAAACATTCACGAGACATTGTTCTCACAGACGTTTAGGTCGGCCTGCGCAGTCTGACACTGCGCCAGGAAAATCAAATGGTTTTTCGATTCTACTCAGGTGGTCGGAACAGTTCGCCGAAGCTGTTAAATTTTCCCCCATAAACTACCAATAATTATAAAGGTCACGCATGCATGATTACTCCTTTGAGGATTAACCTAATGAGTATAGGCGATTCTACTCAGGTGGTCGGTACAGTTCGCCGAAACTTAAATTTTCCCCCACACACTTCCAGGAATTACTCAAAATCAGGCATGCATGGTTACTTCTTTGAGGATTAACCCATCGTGTATAGCAGCCTTAAGAAACTAAATTCTGTATGGTAGCTTATGTATAAAGGGCATTGATACTATTAGATTTTGGTATTAAAGGTCTAGGAGGTGGAGACGTGTTATATTTCGAGAGGGGTTGGGCTTAATGAAAATTTTACTCAGCATTTACAACTTTTTATAAAACTCGTTTCTACCCTCAAAAGTAAGCTTTTTGTCAATTTATAATAGAACGGGATCGGATCCGGTATACCTGCCGCGTCACGGGGATGGCGTTAAAATATCGAAAGTTGTTGAGAGTTGTTTGCGTACTTAAAACTCAAATTGTCAAGATTCCTGACACCGCAGTCTACTTTTGCGACGTAGTTCGCGAACCAAACTTGTGTTACCGAGATTTAAGGAAGTTTAAATTAATAGAGAGGTTGAGGCGCACGTTTTAAACGTGTACGTGTGACGTTCGGCGCCGCTTTCCCGTATGCCTAAAAGTTTGACAATGGTGTTTGGATAGTCGGTGGAATCACGCTCGACATTCCAAACACCATCGTCAAACTTTTAGGCTTACGGGAAAGCGGCGCCGAACGTCACACGTACACGTTTAAAACGTGCGCCTCAACCTCTAATACGTAAGTTAAGTGGGTTATGGGAAATTCGTGAATTACGTGGGCCTACGATGGAGTCAGGCATTAAATCAATCTAAACGACAGTTTTTAACCTAACTATATATTTATTTTACGAAGTTATAACAATGTAAATACAGTACAAATAAATGAAGACTATGATAAAAAAAATGATCGAACTTCACCATCAAAATATGTGAGGATATCTAATTCTAAATCTCTGGCTATCCTGACGTGGAAGAGTTTACATAAAATGATTATATTACAGTCGACTCCCCCTATAAGATATAGATACGTTCCAATTTATTAGGAATCCGATTTCTTACAAGTCGTTCCAATCACAGCCCGACACGTGTCAAGTTTACGGACTACGGCTGATAGAAAGGTTTTCTTCCATAAAATGAATCGATTCTACACTAATCCGACTCAACATTTCCAAAATAAGTATATTTTTTCGTAGTTTTATAGGAATCGTAATTATAGGGGGGTCGACTGTACCTATGATTGGGAGAATGATGGCTAAAGTCTCGGGCGTTCGACAATGGCGCCAGAATGAGAGCATTTCCCTGGACATCAAATGTTTAGTCAAAGTTCCTAAATGAAGGAAATTATCTCTCGCAAACACTACATAATATGTAAAGTAAACCTTCTAAAGTTAGATGATGAGAGGAAAAATACCAACCATTCTCACAAAATTTATAAAACTTTAATCTAAGCTCCTGTTTGCAATTTGTGAAAATGCATGTGAATATAGAAAACTAAATAAATTCTTAACAACTGTCTCCAAATTTCTTTTCTAATTTTGCATTTCAAAACCAAATAAATTTATCATCATAATTGTCAATGGTACATATAATAAAGTAGATTTCGAAATAAAAAGCTAAAGCCTTTAATTTTGTGTCAAGAGCAACTATTAAAACGAAAAAATACTATTTGAAATTATGAAAGGAATTCCGTGGCACGAACTGGAAGGAACGTACAGTTTACATCAAGTAGCTAGCATGAATTCTATACAGTGACCTTGAAACTGCGGATCGATAATTGCTCCATAGGGATCATTGGTATCCTGTCTGACCTTGTACAGAACAGCTGTTCTTAGCGCCATCTGTCGGAGCTTGGGAAGAAATTGAAAGTAAAAAGATGGACAACCCAAAGCATGCTCAGCAGAAAATAATGACTTAAATCAACACATGATCACTCGCTGAGAGATTTATTTTTTAAACAAACGTTTTCAATCCAATCAATGGATCATCGTCAGGTTAATTAACCTGACGATGATCCATTGATTGGATTGATCAACACCTGATCACTCTCAGCGAGTGATCGATCAGGTGTTGATTAAGTCGTAAAAAGATGGAGTTGACCAACCATAGGATTAATGGTTATAATTTCCAAATGCACCCCTCGTATCTATTATGGGTTTTGGCATAGCCAACAAGAGGGGAGTGATCGAGTAATAAATGGGGACAGACGGATCAAGAAAACTTTCTTGAGTTGTCCTGATTCGATTCCGGATTTCTCAAACGCTAGGCTGCTTTAACCGTCTTGTCATTTCCTACGATTTTCTAGAAACATAGGGTTATCCATAAATGGCCTTAAATAAATTGGAACGGAGGAGAGAGGAGGGGTTGAACATCAAATAGACATCAGTTTTATTTCATTAAATTTACACATTTTATACATTTATTATTGATGGTGATAAAAATTTTGAGGGTGGTTGAGTTTTGCTGAACGTCCAAAGAGGGGAGAAGTTACAGGAACTTGGACAATGGGAGGAGGGGAGTAAAAATTTCAAGAAAAATGCAGACTTAAAATTTAATTTTATGGGACTGTCCACAGATTTAACACAAATATGACTGACCCCAATGAAATTAAAATAATAAGAAACTATATAATTTTTAATCTTTTAATAAAAATACTTTTAAAACAAAAAATTATAAAAATACAAAAAAAACTTTTTATTTCGACAGTTTCCAAAGATATTCACATACAAATACTGTATAAATTTTAATACTTTATGATGTACAGTTTCATAATTTTTACAACACTGGTTCGTATTATATTACTTTTTTTAATTAAATTTTTACAAATCATTACACCTATGTTAAAAGTTGGAATTCGATTTACGACGGATTTTCAAAAATTAAGGAGATTCTTCAATACACATATAATATTCTACATACATTAAACATTCTTAATTTTATATAGAGGAATAAAGTAAAATTATATATACTTATATTATACTTATGTGTGTGTGTATATATATATATATATATACACACACATAATATATAGATGTCGTTAGTAGCGAGGTTGCAGCCGAAGTTTATCTATAAAACGTAAACGTCGAACGTAGAGCGCCGCTGTTTTCGAGATGAAAACTTCAGCGGCAACCTCCCTAGTGTAAGAAAAAAAAAAATCTGTTTTCGTTTATGAGAATGAAGATTTCATATAACGAGAGATACTTGTTTTAATTGGAGAAATTTCAATTTCGTATCTCTCGTGAGATGAAATGGTCATAGATTAAATTCTACATTAGACCAATTATGTATAGAAAGCAGGGGCAGATCTAGGTTTTTCGATGCCTAGGGCTTATTGAAGTCCAATGGGGTCCCATTTTTTGTTAGATTAAAAGAAATTGATTACAATAAAACATTCTTATAATTTATAGTAACTATTTTTTACGATAAGTGCTCATTGTTAATGAAAAGGTATTCAAATTTTATGATAATTCAATTTTTGTGGGTCCTTGATACTTCGGGGCACAGGCTTAAGCCCTATTAGTCCTTATGTAGATCCACCCCCTGATAGAAAACAACAAAAATGTCTTACCCTTAGAATTATTTGATTCTGACAAACTAGGATCATGAAAGGAACTACTGTCTAGTGATTGCTCGGACATGGTTTCTTCTTGATCATTTTCGGAAACGTTTTCATCCAAACGATTTTGACTCGTCGATGCTACAAGTTAATATATATTATTGTAAATGTTAAAAAATGTTTATAATGATTTTATTTACTGAATATATTTATCAGTTACCAATATCCAAACTAGGAGTCGAAGATTGAAGAGAAAAGTGATGTTGAAATGTAAAATCTTCTGACAATTGATCATTATCGTCGTCTATCATTTCACTCATTGCATCGCTTATTTTGATTTCTTTTGAAATAGTAGGTACAAATTTTGGTGATGTGTCGAATACCGTTGGATCGGACGTAACTGTGCAAGCAAGTTGATTCTGTGATGAATCGAACGCTCCATCTGAACCGATTTCAAACATTTCATTTTCCTCTTCCTAAAAATATATAGATATTGCATTAATCAAAATTGTTGCAATCTAATAAATTATTAACTTCATATTATGCTTATATATCTATAAATTTTCAAAATATGAAACGAAGACATTCATAAAAAAAAAACCAAAAGAAAATGATATATGCTCACCCTTTTAATCTCAATATTATCATCATCATCAATTCTGATTATCGGGGGATTTTCGATTATTTCGATTTCGTCCTTGACCGATTCATTTTTTATAGCATCTTCATTTAATGTAAAAACAGGTATTTCTTTCAAGTTCGGAGATAAAACAGGGGGTTCAGACAACTTAACTTTAGAGGGAATCTCATGGACTTCGTCAGATTCACTCGAGGATGTTCTCTTCCTTTTTTCTTTCTTTGGTTGCGAAGTGGAAACTTTAGTAGATTCCTCTATTACTTCTTTAGGGGCTTCTATGAATGGACCTAGACCATCTATTTTCAGTAATTCGGCAGTTTTTAAAAGTCCAGCTAATTGACTGCTGGGAACGAAAATTTCGCCGTTATAAACAAAATCCAGAATCATTTTCAGATCAGAATACTTTGTTTTCGTTAGGACGATGATGGGATACTGATGGGGATTATCCTGAAAAATATTTTTTAAAAGTGAACTACTTGCACTCAATATCAACTTGTGGGCTTTCATTTGTCTGCCTTCGCAGGACAGAGTGACGTCCATCAAATGTTCTGTAGTTAAAAATTGCTTGAAACTAGACATCATATTTTCCTCGTAATTTTTCCATTTAAAATAAAACTGTTGCGTTCCCATATTTAGTTTCTTTAGCCTAAGAAATAAATTTTAAAATGTTTAATTCATTACCTCAGACGATTTAGGAATTTAAAATTAAAAAAGAAAACTAAAAAAATTATTTTTTCTTCTCCCTTTAAAATTAGATTAAAAACAATTATAATAAAAATATAATTACCAATATTATATTTTAAAACACCAGAACGAAAAAATTAAAAAGCATTAAAAAGCAGCCTTACGCCCATAGTAAAGATTGTAACGAATCTGAGCATCTAAACAAATTTATAGCTGGCCTCATTTTCTGATTGGTCGTAAACGGTAAAGTCTAATATCTTATTGGCCAATACTTTTGACAAAAGTCAAAATTTTCATTTTTTAACATCCCTCGAATTCCTTTAACGCCATTGGATAATTTGAACATTTTTAAAGCATTAGGCAATGCGTCATAACTTAATTAATTAATCTGTAACAAACATAGATAACTGTAACGAATTTAATATTCAATTTGTAACGAATATAAAATGATTCGATGTTTTTAATTAAATTCCAGTTAAAACAAAAAATCATACAAGAAAACAATGTTATGATATAAAGTATATTTAATTGCATTTTAGTCTTCGGCATCCACAAATCTTTGTCGTCATCGTTGTCAGCAGCATTTTGCTATTTAGCAGATTACAAACCTACAGCTAGATTCGTCACTTATCCTTCCTGAATGCTAGGTAAAAGCTTTTAAGTACTTATAACTTGCCATTTTAAAATTATCTAGCAATTTTCTTTCTGTGTACACTGTATGTCCTTACTTGTAGTAACCTTCGGTTTACAGACTAACAATTAAGTTATTGTCAGTTTTTACACATAATCTCTGTTCAAATATAATTTGAACAATCATTGAAAAATTATTTGTTTTATTCGTTAAAAGTAATAAATTAATAGCAATAACGAAATATTCTGTAGACAGATTCAAAATCTGAATGAAATGTTGGTAAGACAGTATTAATATTCCTTAAAATTTAGGTACAGTACATTGCTTAATAGGACACCAGTCAATCGATGAAATGCGATTCTCTTCTTAATATTTGCTTTAATTTAGATTAAATTGTATATAAAGTTAATTAGAATGCAAAACTACCCTTTTCTTTGTATTAATGTTATAAAAATCGATTACAAATTTAAACAATGATTATACACGTTTGATATCGAAAATGATTAGCGCATTTTCGTGTTGGTATAATTTTCGTGATAAAGTTGAGGTTAATGTGCAGGGTCGTAGACCATCATGGCGGCTCTTCCTATTTTAGCCTCGAAACCGGACCGCTTTGGAGACGACGTGTCACATGACGACGCGAGCGAACGGCGGCGGCTGCTGCGCCGCGGCAGCGCCGGCGCTGATTCCAGCAGTGGGGACGCACGTTCTAACCTAACCTAACCTAACCGATTCTAATAATATAATTCGTAATAATTATGATAAATTATCAGAATAGGTTAGGTTAGGTTAGAACGTGCGTCCCCACTGTTTCCTTTTCTTTTTGCGGAATCAGGGATGAGCCGCCATGAGTCTACGTATATAGACGTTAACCCGCGCATCGGTTTTCCCCGTTTATCGCGACGCAGCAGCCGCCGCCGTTCGCTCGCGTCGTGACGTGACACGTCGTCTCCAAAACGGTCCGGTTTCGAGGCTAAAACAGGAAGAGCCGCCATGATGGTCTACGACCCTGAACATTAACCAAAGTTGAAATTAGAATAATATTAAAAGTTAAATAAATAAAAGTGTTATTTTTCAACCTCCTTCGCATAGTACCGCGTTTCATAGTTGAGTCATTCAACATCATGTTATGTAAATTACGTTACTTGGTAGGAGTGATGTAGCCTACTTTAAAGTTAAATACTGTAATGTGTTTTTCTTCTTTTTCTTTCAAAGTTCGCCTTAATTCTTAAGTTTTGTTAATATTCTATTTAAACTGGATTTTAGAATGTGGCAATTGTCAACTTACGAAGAAATTGCATTTCGTATTTCCTAGAAATTGCAATCTTACATGGTGAGTTTGAAAATGAAAAATCCCATTATGATTATTGATTAGAATATGTTTGTATCATTTTTTAATATCTTTAATTATTGCAAAATTAGGTGGTGCAAACACTGTCGTTGAGGTGTACAAAGTCGATTTACACGTAGAAAACAAAATGCCGGACTTGTTCTTCTGCAGCAGTGGCTATTCGATGGAGTCAGCCTTGAATCGAAACAGCGTATTTTAATCGCCGTGCTAGACCGTTCAGCTAAAACATCGATTGATCCTATACGAAATAATGTTAAGTAGAAAGTATAATATATTCTGACTTTTGGAAAGCGTACTAAACTGTTGAGTTAGATGATGACGGATACGAACGTTTGCGAGTAAACCCAACTTTGAAGACCTTGAAACTTGATGTCATACTCAAAACATAGGAATAAACTTACTACAATTATTTTTATGTTAATCGTTCAGTACTTCATTGTAATTTTAAACGTGTATGAATTACGAAATAAAATATCGATTTCGCTACAAACAGTAGTAAAAATGACTGGTGTCACGTTAATTAAGCAAAAAATAGTTTTTTTCACTTTCTTGACAAAAATCTTCCTTCAATATAAAAAGGGCTGAGATCGCCTTTTCTCTTCTTCGTTTCCCAACGATCGTTCATAACTATCGTCGGGATTTTTCGGAACCAAAGCAGAATAACGTATTAGTAACTATAGTTCATCAATTATCTGTTTATATATTGAAAGCATCAAAACTCAACAATCTGGCGATGGTTTTAAAAACAGTATAAATAAGCAGTCTCCTTTTTGTATCTCTACATTTCGAAGAAGTTCTGAAAATTTTTATACAGTATACTATGCAGCCTTATATGATAAGATTATTCATAGCTTATTGCTTTTTCTCGTAGAATTTTACAATTTAAAAAATTAATTTAAAATATGTCTCATTTACTATTTATAATCTGTACTTATACTCTTTCATAACTTATAGGGAATCGTCAATTTTAAATTATATAGTTTCTATTTAAAAAATAACAATGCTATAACTAGACGTTTCAATACTTAATATATGCTGGATTACACGCTACACTTGTATGCTAGTTCAATTTTAATAATATAATTTTATCACAAAGTTGATTGCACTAATAATAGGCTTATTATATATGTACTGTACAGTACGTATTGCATATAATTAAAATTACCATCAAATACGAGAAATAATGGACTTTCCAATATTTGGCAATTAACTTTTTTCTTATCTCTCATCGTGTTTTCACTCTTGATATTGATCTAACTTGTGAGATTTCTTGAGCTAATAGAGAGGTTGCGGCCGATGTTTTCATTGCGAAAACGTGAACGTCGGACGTTCAGCGCCGCCATCCTGTAAGCCTAGAAGTTTGATAACGGCGTTTGGAACGTCAGTGGAATCATGCTCGACGTAAATTCGTAATGTCTTGTCTTAGCAATGCAAACACGATATTTTTTCCAACATGTCCACATGATCCAAAATTTGTGTTGCAGTTGTCTCCCCCAAAAGCAACACATTTTTGTAAACAATTAAATTTTCTCAGTGTATTTGTTAACAAGTCCTTAATGATAGCTGCTTTTTCGTTTGAGACTGATGTCATCTGGGCAAGTTTATGTTCAATTCCAATAGTTTTGTGATTAAAATAATGAATTATACCTGGAAATATCTTTGCATCTTTGTGATTGCTACCATCGGTTGCAATTCCTATGAATGGAATATTTTCTAACTCTTCTAATGTCTTTTCTAATGAATAGGGTGCCAAAACATCTTTAATCAAAGCTTCTGTCTTGGTTCAGGCAGAAGAAATTCGGGTTGCTACCAGTGGCGTGCCGTGATATTTGATGAAAGGGAAGCTAGTTTCTGTAAGAAGCCGTCTTCCAGGGCAATCAGTTAATTGCGCGTCAGTGATGGTCTAAGGTCCATTCGTATTCGTTTGTTCGATAAACCATTAAAAACCGTAGACTTCTCTAAATGTATTTTTTATATCACAACTAGCAGATAAGCCGGGCGTTACTTGGGCAAAAAGTAACGATAGCGAAGATTAAGATTATTACATTACAGCCAGTGGCGTACCGCAAGGACTTTAAACTACAAGGATGGCCAGATCCCGTATATTTGTTAGCATGACCTTGGATCTATGTGACGTCACAGCAAGTCTTCTACTTCAACATCACAGATCTTTCAAATAACAAAATACGATAAAATATTAAATCATTTCTTAATTAATTATTAAATTACTACTAAATGTAAACTACTGTAGAATTTTCGGATTTAATAAGTGTACTGTACGTCAATAAATTTACAAGTCTTTTGTTTAATATTTATTTAACAAATTAATGAGCTATACTTTTTAATATGTGATTATCTTACTTAACTTTTTAATTTTTTTTCGACAATCACCATTTTCAGAAGGCATTCTTTTCAATATTTTATAGTTTTCTTGTTTAAGATTTCTATAATTAATTCTTATTATAGTTCTTAATTTACAAAAATCTTTTATTAAAGTAAAAGGTAAAACTGTTTCCACTGACTAATTCTGTACAACTCCGGGGCCTTTTTTATACGATTCA